CGTATTGACAAACTCTGAGTAGCCAGCCGAATTCGCTTTGGCAGATGAGAGTGGAGTTCGTCTTCCCTCAGGCGTTCTTGAATAAACTTCGCGTTATTGTCATAACGCAACTGGATGGGTTCGTCCCAACTGGTTGTCGGACTTCATGTCATGTCATGGTCCACTTTAATTCGTTAATAATACGGTAGTTTCAAAAAATAGGTTATTTAAGTTTGCATCCTCGTCAATGTTGGAATTATCCCTCCATTATATTCATTATTTAAGACTGCGTACGCCTCATTATCTCTTTTATCTTCCTTTGGCTTCTTCTTTGGTTAACAATATACTAACATCTGTTTTCTTTTCTATAAAAGTATAAGGGATCTTTTGGGAATATCCTCAATTTCTGAACAACGATCGAATAAAAACGCTATGGGGATCGAATTGGTATCGCAAAGTAAGTGAAAATACAATGATTTTAGAGTATTGGTTTCAACATTATGATCCTTACTACTGATATGACTATTTTATAAGGCTGATGGTGTTTTACGCATGTTAGAAGGCACGACCGTTGGTCAATGGCACGTTCAGCAACAAGATCTTTTCGATCTGTACCAATCCAGCAACAATAATTTGGTAATTTACTGTGTGTTTCTGTATTTTCAAAACTTGATGAATTAATTTACGTATACCTATTTAGGGTTGATGCTCACTTTCCCGAAGCCCATTTTTCTGACATACCATTTCACCGAAGTCATAATATTGACAATCCATTTTACTAACAGGACAGAAATAGGTAAGTGTCATTTCACCGAATATCAATTAACCGACAAGTTTATTTCACCGAAAAAGTAATTCTGGTCATTGTCGTTAGGGTCAGGTTTAGAATGAATGTTGAGGTTAGTGCAATTTGTAAAAAAAACTTGTCGGTGAAATGATTGTCAGTGAAATAATTGGCAATAAAATAAACTTATCGGTTAATTGATTTTCGGTAAAATGACACTGACCTATTTTTGTCTTTCTAGTAAAATGGATTTTCGGTATTACGACTTGGGAAGTTAAACTGAAACCCCTATTTAAACAAATACCTCAATAATATCATTGCCAAATATTTTAAATAATCCGGGAAAGCACAAGTCTGAAGGCGATCATCAGCCCAAGACACCGTTGCTACGACCCCAGAAAAACCAACCCTTTACAAAAACACTATGCAATATCTGGCTAACTATTTTTCGGTCAACAATGTGTGATAATGAAAGTAGATTATATTAATATAATTTTGAAAGAAATTTGTACTTGGTTGTAAATGTATTATCAATAAGTATTCGTAAATCTTTTTGGGTCTTATGTTAAATCTTATTAAAAAAATTTTATTAACTACCAGTCATGTTTGAAAGTAATATTATGGCTCCACTAAACTCCAGCCCATCCATTTTAACAAATTTGCAAAACAATTTTATATGACTTGTGAGTATATTATCAGTTTTTACATTAGTGATGCAAACCTGATGCAACTATAAGTTTCGTCAAGTTTCGTCATTGACGAAGCTTGACGAAACTTATAGTTGCGTCAGGTATCACTACTTTACATTTCTTTTAGCACAATTGTTTAATTTACCCTGTCTGAAATGGTTTTACCATGACAGATAAAGACTCATTGAATTTTTTATTGGAGAAAGGAAGTATACCATGGATAGACTGTGCCTTTATTCAAGGCGATTCAATCGGTATATCGAGGATATAGAGTTATTTACAGAATTCGATTTCACACTAAATAAAATTGATGGAATTGATTCTAAGATACAAGCAATAAAGAAATCATATTTGTCGAATTGTCTGGAGTAGTGATGAGAAAAATGCGCATATTATAATAACATGCGCATTAATGCGCATAATAAAAAAAGGCAAAAAAAGAAAAAAACGATCGAGAGAAGAGAAATCTTGATGGGATAAAATGCGCATGAAACCCATCTCTAGTCTGGAGACTGGAAAATGATTTTCTAGAACACATTAAAGAGGATACAGAAAAACTTATCAAGAAGGCGATGTTCGGTTTGATCTCTTTGCTTAGAGGCTACTTAGGAACAGGTGTATATATGGTTAATGTATAGGTAATATACATATCGTTTTATAATTATGATTTCTTTTAATCCATATAAATCTTATTTTTGTTGTTCATGTTAGACGATAGGATTGCGCTAAGTGAATTTTGTCTTCACAAGAAATATTTTTATAAGATCTTGCAGATTAAGTCTACTATGCTACCGTTTACTTTCGATGAAATTGAAAAATTTATGGAGGTTTTCGAACTATTATATGCTTTAATAACGAGTATTTTCTATATGTATGTTACGGATATTGTAGAACTTTAGTCTAACTTTTATGTTTTTGTTCTCAGGATGGACTTTAAAATCAAATAAGAGACTTAAAAAAATTGATACTTGCTGATCCTATTAGTAACGTACCCACAATCCGGGATTGGATCTGGATTCCAAAAAAATCTTTCAATGTGGGAAGCTACAGAAGTTATGTATGAAGATTTCGACTATTAAGATTTGAACTATGCCTATGAAGATTAATTTTTTTTATTCTATAAACCTTATCAAAAGCCATTTCAGTTATATCAAAGCGAAGTCATGCTATATAACATAAATGTAAGGTATTAAAACAATAAACATATAATAATAATTATTTAGCGCAATTTTTCTTGACAAAGCTCGTGAACTACTGCGCCAGTTTTTTTTCAAGTGAATCTACGGGCATTGAAATGCACGATAAAATCAATCAATTAAATAATTCCTTAAATAAATAATAATTGATTGTTTCCCGTAACAAGTCGTAGCTCTATAATCTACTATTACAATAAATTTCACTAATTATATTTACGTCTTTGATATACTTTATTTACCAATAATATACTTTTTACAGGTTTCATGATTTTTTATTGACAGAGTTTATGCACTAATACTGTAGAATTAATAATAAATTCGGATTTATTTTTTTCAAGCGATTATATTTTCCAAATAATGATTATTCAACTGTTCCATATGATAAAACTCAAGATTTGAATTGAAAATATTTTAAAAATAAGTTTCATAGATAGTTAAAAGAAACATATTCAAGAATGTTATATGATTACAATAAAGATACGTGAAATGAGAAAATTCTTTTAATCGCCAATTTATTATGAATTTAATATTCTTTCTTACATAAATTTTTCTTGGCAAATTTGCCTGAATTACAAGGAATATCCAATAGCAAGAGACATGCTGAGTACTGGAAAAAGGCATCAATTTCTGCTATATTATATATATTGTGCGCAAAAAAAATACTAATTATGAGGAATGATACATCTCTATTTTTATTGAAACAAATTATGTAAGTAAATTTATTCTAATTGGCAATTAAAGATCATTGATTCTACATCGTTCGTTAACAGTGTTTCATTTATGAGATAAATTTATATTGTTTTTCAAAAAAAATTTTTTTTTTTGAATATATTGCGGAATCCTTTAAATAATTAATAAGATCCCAAGATGTTATAAACGCATTTAAAAAAAACAATTAAGGAGACTGAGCGCCCGATCCATAACTATGCAAACATAAGTCATAGACACGGGATACTGTATATATGTAACTTTTTGAATTACCAAATTCAGGGCCAGAATATATTAGAGCTGAACCTGTATTAAGTAATAAGAGCACACTAAATCTATAAATGAACTATAACTTTGTTAGGCCTAATCAACAGAGATTTCGAAGAATTCGATCCACAATTTGAGTTTACATATACATAATGAGGGGCATAATGCAAGTGCATGCAAGAATATTAATCTACAAAAGGTAAAAGTTCAGATGCTAAGTCGGGTGCTCCGTGCCTTTGCCAGTACGTATATACATATTAAGAAATGTATACGTACGTATAAAAATGATCTACTAGATCCAATTTGGCAACTTGGTCCATAAACAAATACTGATACAGAACAGGGATCCATTATGGCATTAGTGTTAAGGGGTCAATAATTCATTTAATTTGTGGATTAAAAAAAAAAACGCCAGATCGACACTTGTACCCCTGTTCATATTTACATAATAGAAATGCTGGTATGTACCGGTGCGTATGTACTAGAATTCTGCAAGCATAGAGCCTGGCACTATGTATTAATAATATTGTGCCTGGAGCTTGAATGACCTTATTGCGTCACTTCACTACTTATCTTCATTTTTTCGATTATAATTTGTGACATGTATTATGTAAAAAATATATAATAAATCTTAATTAATTGACAATGCAAATATATGCAATATATGTATATAATTCGTAAGCGCGCATTAAAAGTTCTTAACGTTAATAAAACTTGGGGTAAGCTTATCGTTACGTACTTGATTCATTTTCGCTCCTTAAATGATATTGGTCTATCTAACTTTAGCAGTGGAACCGAAATATATATATATATATATATAGCTAAGAATATCCTGTAAAAAACTAAAAAATTTCGAAAAACAAGTTGAACCAATAAAAGACTGAACAGCCCCGACAATCAGGAGTTTCCACTATTTAGCATATTAGATGGTTTGAAAACTAGTAGAATTCTATTGATTCCCGGATTTTGATCTCAATGCGGCTATGTATTTTTCATTGAACCAGGATTGTGGCTTTTATTTCTACTCGTTTTTGATTATAAATGGAAATTTTCCAATCAGATCTCAAAATCGTTAATAAGGTTAATAACTGACATTACACATAATTAATTTAACGTTAACATTCATTTATGAATTGACACAGATTCATAATTTACTTATGCAAGTTGATACACTTTTATTATTTAAGCCAACTTGATCTCATAAAAATTAGTATGACTAGTTCTTACAAACTTTTCTTATAACAGCCTCTCTAATCAGACTATTTATATTGAGAATTCTATTTAGCATTTAAGATTTCGCATAACAATTTAAAGGTCAAAAAAAACCCCAATGATAGATAAACAAAAAAAAGATCTGTATTGTTCAGCAATTTAAATTTATAATGAAATGCTTTCTTCGTCGATGAAAAGGTCAAATTGTTTTGTAACATAAGGAATAAATTTACTAGAATATTTATTCTCGGGGTTGGATTTGAATTCTGTTTCGTCCTTATTTTCATAATCAGATGAAACACTTTCATCGGCGATTTTGAATTCTCGATAAATATTTGAGTCTTCTTGATTTATTACACAATCATACCATTCAAGAAGCTTATCATGGAGTTCTGCTGCAGTGGGTCTTTTTGTTGGATCACCATTTAGGCACCTTTGCATTAATTCATCATAACATTTCGGTGTTTTATCGGAAACTTTGGGTCGAAGACCTTGACAAATTTTAAACGCCAAAAAAACGTTAAATGTCATATTATCAAATGCTGGCTTTCCAGTAGCAATTTCATACATAATGATTCCATAACTGTATACATCTGAATATTTACGATAAGGGTTTCCCATTAAAACTTCGGGAGCTACGTATGGGAGGATTCCATGTATACCATTTTTTGGGACATGTTCATCACTATCAACATGAGACAACCCAAAATCTGAAATTCTACAATTTTTAGAGACTTGTAATATATTTCCACTGTGAAAATCACCGTGGACTAATCCTGCATCATGTATTACATTTAGATCTTTGGCAATTTTTGTTAAAAAATTTAGCCTATCTTTCCATTTCAAATTATTATGGTTGTCTTTTAAAAAATGTCTTAAATCCCCCTCTTGAGCATAATCTAAAACGATCACAAACTCATTTGTTTTCGGATTTCTACTGATTCCATAGCATTGAAGGAATCTATCATTTTGAAGCATCATACACTTATGGTGAGTTACAATCTGCAATTAAAATTAAATCTTATTAATTAATGATAATAAAACTAACAAAATAATATTAATCAAAATTATGAACAATAGGAGCAATTTAACTGACCTCATTGAGAAATGCTTCAGCATCTATTTTATGAAAATATTTCAAAGCAATGCGATAGTCACAATAACTCTTTCTGAAATATTTGTTTTCTTTAACATCCCATGTGAAGTGACCTTCTAAACAATTCGTCCTTATTGCTGAAAAAGCCGTGGCAAATCCTCCCTTTCCAATTATTTCAATATCTTTAAAATTTTCAAATGGGATAAATTCTAAGTAATCATATGAGCGACGAGCATCAATTATAGTCTTTTTAATGTAATTATCCAATTTTTCGTCACCACTCGTCCACCCTGGATTTTCTTCCAGTAATAATTTAGAATGGCATTCAGGACACCAATTTTTGTCTGTTTTTGGTTTATGGCAGGCTGGACAAAAGCCATAGTCTCCAGGACCAATCGGCTTAGATTCAAGGTTTGTCATCTAATATTGGAATAGAAAAAAAAATTTTGCATACTTAGGATTACTTATTCACAAACTTTTCTTATTATTATTAAAAGGTTAAAATCAATCTAATTAATATGAAAGAAAAGCGTCAGTTGTCATGCATACCGTTTCAGAGACCCACAATTTCAAAGAAAACTTTTTTGGAATGATATTTATATATCGCATAATTTTGCGCATATATTATGATTTCTATTTCTTTATTCATACTTCTTTAATCGCGATTATGTCTATTGTGCCTATAGATAGAGACTCCTTGTCTCATAATCTTTATAAAAAAAGTTGATCCTTATCTTAGTCTTTGACATTTATGGAAAACGGCAATTTCCATAAGGAGAAGTGGTATAAGTTTTTCCGAACTTTAATATTATACCAAATTGAACAATATCATGTTACAATAATATTTGTGAGACAATATTAAGTGATACATAATCCCTTTTCAAATAATATTGTAATATTTGTTGCATTATGACCATCCCGTAGTTGGTGAATATATGCACAATCATTCATTGTAAATATATAAATTAAATAACATTATTGTAACCATTTGTTTGAAAAATGGGTTTGGTGAGTCCATACAAACGTGTCATAATTTTCGCTTTAGATGGTGAGCATAAAATTCATATATTCTTATAAAAACTTATATATGTTCAATTAATAATGTTCTATTAAAATATTTAATGATGAATTTAATCAACATTTAGGTGTCGGAAGATTTTTTAATGAAGTACCAACTCCCACCATCGATGAATTTTTTTCCTCAGGTGCTAGTTCATTGACTGCAAAAGCAGTAATTCCAACTGATAGTGCTCAAAATTGGGGTTCGGTATTGCATGGCGTTCTTCCCGAAAAGCACGGATTAAAAAATGGTGATGTAGAAGCTGGTGTACCATTTAATGAAAATAGCAAATATCCAAGTATTTATAAGCTACTTTCTAATAATTCAAAAGATATTAAATTGGCATCTTATGCAGCATGGGAACCAATTAATACCGGTATAATTGAATTATCCGTTAAAGCTGATTTATACGCTCCTCTCACTCATGAGAATTTTTTTTTGAGATGGTGGCTTCGTTTTAAACATAATTGTCTTAAAGATTCAGTATATGATAATATTGTGGTCTCACGATTAGTTGAATACATTCATAATCCAGAAAATAAAGATGTAAATTTATTATTTATTCATTTAACTGATGTAGATGAACATGGACATGGTTATGGTTTTGGTTCCCAACCATATTTAGATCAAATAAAAATTATGGACTCCCAAATCGCAACGATTCTTAAAGCTATTGATGAAGTTGGTTGGAACGACGACTCTCTTGTAATAATGACAACTGATCATGGTGGTATCGGTAAAAAACATGGTGGAAGTAGTGATCAAGAAGTTAATGTATTTTTAGCTATTCGTGGCGTTGGTATTAAACCAAATTCGAAAATTGAAAGCGATGTAACAAATATGGATTGTGCAGCTCTAGCTCTTTATGCATTGGGAAAAGATATCCCTGAATGGTTTGATGCAAAATTACCCACTGAATTTCTTCGTAGTTCTTAAATAGTATCATGTAGGAAATAAATATAGTGTTCAGTTGGTTTAGTTTTAAATTGGGTAATAAATTTGCGTTAATTGCGCTTTTTTTTTGTATTATTGCTTAGTGTTGTCAAGAAAATTTGATTAATAAAGATGTAAAAAAAGGATCTTGAGTTCAAATTCAATGAATGTAAATGCGTAAATTACTCTTTTATTTCTTTTGTGTTGCACACAATTATTAGTAAAAATAAGTAGTTGTTTATTCCAAAATTTAAAGCTTTCCAATAATGTCATGAATTAGATAAACTAAGCCAGTTTGAACTTGCTTGCTAAGCAAAATGAAAATGGGCTTGGCCCACACGCCTTAAGTTTATCTTAACTATCGCGATTCTTCATCGCTATTTAAAAGATTTTGATTGTAATATCAAATTAATGTTCGGTTATATGTAACAGAGCCCACCCATCATTCAATTTTCGATCAATACTTTTTTTTTTATACTGAATAACGGGATTACTATTGAATTTTAAAAATAGGGACAAATAGAATTTCAAATTAGCATACAATACTCATTCATTTAAATTTCATTACGTAACTTGAAAGATCTTTCACGTGCTTCTAAAAGAGTAAGACTATTAGATATAATTTATATAAAAGTTTTTAATTATTATAATCTAAATAAGGAATAGAAGTACGCAACATTAAACGGGTTATATTTATGCGTTAAATAAATCTAACCCTGCATTTTATTTAAATAGATAAATTTTATCTCAATTTATACTGTATTTCCCTAAATAACCCGTTATTTTCACAATTTTCAAAGTTCTCATCATTGAATTCTCAACTTGGTCGTTCATTGCATTAAGAAATTCATAACTCAAAATGCAATGCATGTTTGATTCAGTTCTTACATTATCACTTATACTGCGTTCACCGATCCACTGCCGACCAATTTCACCTTGCATAATCCTCAATATTAATTAGCATATTTTGTTACAATAAACTTTCTATAAGCACAGCAGGTGCATTTACCTAAATTTATACGACGTAAGAGGATAGTTATCCTTAACTTGAGAAGTGTCCCCATCTATACTATAAACACATATATGCTTATTAATACCGCTTTATTTGTTATCTTTGTCATGCCTATGTACAGTATGTTGTTCATCCAATCAGATAATTATAAAGTGGTTATACAGCTGATTTGAGGAATTTGACATCCATTCTTTAAATAGATTTGAGATTTTAAGTACCAATTCGGATTATTATGCACCAGAATTTCTAATAATGGTCCACCTTTTTAAAAACAATTGGGGTTTGGATAAAACCCAAATTCGAAAAATCCACCGAGTTGACGAATTAGCTTGGATCTAAGCGGCTGTACAGTGCCACATATTATAACTCTGCCAACTACCATTATATGATTCTTCTGCTTGAAAGACTTTTTGAAAAATCATGTCTATCAACAAAATACAGTAATATATAAGTTTGGACCAAAATACAAAGGCTTTATTCTTGACTTTTAATAGTATATAAAATTGTTATATGCGTTTAAAAATTATTGTTATCCAGATTATAATTTATTGCATATTTAAATCACGTCTTCACTTTTTGTTACAGCCAAGTATAGCGCTTTGCAAATGGTGAGAGACCCCATGATTTTTGTGATAGTGATAAATAGAAATTTTGGATATTCTAGACTGTCTATTGATCGTATCTCAATCAGTTATATTGTCTAACTTATCACTATATTTGTTATAGCTGTTTTCAAAAAAAATTGAAAAATGGTTTCGAAAAAGATCCGGATCCGACTCAGATTTATGATTCTGAGGCCCGTTTGGGTAATACGCGAACCACCCTACGTACCGGAATTTAAAACTAAACATCGGTACTTACAGCTGTTATCATTATTCCTGGGGCACCTTATGAAAAATTAACCGAATCGGCTTCGATAAATTATTGAGTTCGGCATGGATGTAATGTTTATTATTTACGAAGATAGTCTAGCGTCTGGTGCGTACGAAGGTGTTAATCGATTTATTATTTTATAATAATTTATTAAGTAATAAATGTTAATTTCGATTTATTATTTTCGATGTTTATAAATTTTTAATAAATTTTTTAAATTCAACATTCTATTTTTACACCCTTTATTGACCAATTTTTGAATATTATAAATTTATGTAAATTTAAAAATAATTTATTAAAAAAGTATTAATTTGTTTATATAAAAATTGTAATATTGAATAAATTTAATTTGAATTGATTAGTCTTGAGTATTTTTATAATATAACCTATATTTATACTAGTATAAATAAAAACAACATAATAATTGAAAAACTAAACAAGAATATTTACAGTAATTGTGATCATCAAGTTACTTTAATCATGAAGAGTTTCCAATTGCTTGTTTTATGAATCCATTCATCACCTACAATGATTAATACCCAATTTCAATCCACCTGATTTCTTAAGAAGTAATTATCTTAATTAGTTAGTTCTGTGAATAAGAACTCAAAAATACTAACTGAAATAATAATTTTTAAAAAACTATTAAAAAAAGAAATAGCTATTTATAACAATCTATTCACTATAGGTTCAATGTCTAACTAATGATTATCATCAATTGTAACTTAAAGTATTTTGATTTTTGGTTAAAAAATTATGAATAGACATATACAATTAATAGTAATTATTAAGTTATAGTACATAAATTAGATATAATTCTCACTAATAAACCTATTAAAAAAGTAAGGTTTTTTTATTACTATTCTGTAAATATATTGCAGTATCTATTAGTAAAAACAATCTAAACACCTATAATACATTGTTTTGTATATATTAACAAAATGATGTATATTTTTTAAAATAAAATAAAATGTTTACAATAATATATTATTATAAAAAAATTATTTTTTATATAAGTATAAGTGTAAAAGTTTAAAAAAAATAAAAAAAATAAAGATGTATTTTTATCAGAAATGGAGTATGAAGTATGTAGTGTATGGTTTATAAACAATTCAAATATGCGTATACAATTCTTAGCATAGGATTGGGTAATCTGCCATTATGACTTTGTGTAGCATTCTGAACAATACTTTAAAAGGTAGGTACTAGAAACAAATGCCTCTGTACACAAAATCTTGGAATTGATTGGTCTGCATGACTTATTTATTATTCAATATTTTTTATAAAAAACTTTAATAAATACATACATTTGTAAAATCGAAGATGCTATAACAAAGAATAGTAAAAATAAGTTTTTTAGACACAAAAATTAGTGTTTCAATATAAATTTAAAGGTCTCAATGCTAAATATTTAGTAATTTTTATTTTTTTTTATCAAATTTTTTATCAGGCTAATAAAGTAATAATTGCTAATTGTCAAAAACTTAATCAAAAGAACTTGTTGATCATTTCTAAATACAGATATATCTTGTAGATTTTTTAATATTTTTTGCAGAGTCTCGGAATTTTGGGTTATATTTATTAAAACTGAGTGATGCTAGCTAACCAACTATATAGCAGTTAGACATTGACTTTATTAATAGTATTAAAGATAAAAATGAAACACTGCACAGGCATTTTTTGAGACTGTGCAATGCAATTTTCATAATTCTAACTAGCTTTATAATTCAGATTTAAATTACTAATTAGAAATCAGTTGAATCAGCCTGCAAGAAAAATATATCTGCATCACCTGATTAATAGAATCTATTGTTTATAATTCTGATCAAAGATGCAGATTATTTGACTATATTTAAAGTTGTTTTGTTCTAGATCTGGCAAATAATCTGCAAATTTGACCAGAATTATCAATTTACTAATATGTAGAGAAAAATGCAAAACAACAAAAACTAACATTTAAACTAATCTTGAAGTATTAATTAAAAATAATAAGAGCCCAACTTAACATATATTAAATAAATGTTTTATATATATAAATGTGAAACCTAATAAGTAAAAGGCTCTAGGAACTGAGATTGTGCAGGCTGTGCAGCCTATGCAATAGATTTAAAAAAACCTTGATTTTCCCATTTCTAGTCAGAGATAAAACTGACATCCTATACAATCTGCAAAATGAATGTCATTGTAGCATACTTACCTAATTGGAGATGCTTATAATAATCTATCTAAAATATGTGCACCTGGCCCAAGAAAGCTATATTACAGTATACAAGCCTCTATGCGAGACCTCACTACCTTCTCTAAATAAAAAAAGGTTAACCTAGACAAACCTGTTCATGCTGAGAATAGATGTTAACTTTATCTACTCTATTTGGGTTAGATGTGAGGCAATGTAAGAAAGGTGCAATTAAAGACAATATAATGAGTTCTGGCTCTGAGATAATAAAACTGAAACATTTCTTATTGGTTTTATGAAAGTCATGAGAAATGTTAAAGTAACAAAAGGCTGTGTAAAAAGAGTAAAGATTAGAATAAAAATAGTTGAATGTTGTGGTCTTGTGTAGGCTCTTCTTATGACCAATTCATTATAAAGAAGAGGGAATTTCTCTTTCTCAAAAGTAGAGTTTTAGCATATAATTTAGAGTTATATAATAATATAACTCTATAATTATATTGCTTCTACAAGATAATACAACTAATAAAAGCTTTTTTAAACCAATACTCTTTAAAAAAAATCATAATACTTATCTTGTAATACTTCTTATTGATTGCCTTGACTTTGTGCCAAATCAAAAAACTGTCTCTATATCTTTGAGGAACATTATGCAACATAATTATTTTTTAAGTAACAATCCATCACATTTGCCCATTTCTGAATTCAAACATAAAACCTGTAATAATAGGGTTTTAGGTTTAGTTATTAAAATTTAAACCAATATTCAGATTGCAAATACTATCAACTTTTTTCTAAAGCATTATTTTCTTATATCAGAAATGGATTGCAATAAAGAATATAGTTTCCTGTGACTGAAATAGTGTCTGCATAGATTTTTCTCATTTCTGGTTTTATATGACAATGTTGTGTAGCTACTTATTTTATTATTTTAATTATTAATTT